AAAAAAAAAAACAAAAAGAACAGTAAGAGCTGACAAAGAAATTCAGCAAAGTAGCAGAACATAAAATCAACAAGCTTTTCTATATACCAATAAACTTGCTGAAAAAGAAAGCAGGCAAAAAAATTTTGTTCACAATAGCTAATAAACAAATATATACATACCTAAAAGATGAAATACCTGGATCAATCTAACCAAGGAGTTGAAAGATTTTACAAAGAAAATTTGAGAATACTGAAAAAAATTGAAAAAGACATCAGAAGATGGAAAGACCATCCATGTTCACGGATTGGCAGAATTAACATTGTTGAAATGGTCATATTACCAGAAGCAATGTAGAGATTCAATGCAATTTTCATCAAAATGCCAATGATATCCTTCACAGAACTAGAAAAAAAAAATCTTACAATTCATATGAAAACATAAAGATCCAGAATAGCCAAAGCAATCCTAAGCAAAAAGAGTAAGGCTGGAGGCATCGCAATATCTATTTCAAATTTTACTATAAAGCCATAACAAAAACAGCACAGCACTGGCACAAAAATGGATACATAGACCAATGTACAAAATATAGGACACAGAAATAAACCCATGTAATGACAGACATCTAATTTTGGACAATGAGAATTAAAAACATAAGCTGGAGAAAATACAGCCTCTTTAACAAATAAATGGGGCTGGGGAAATTGGATTATCTACTTAGAAGATCAAAACTAGATCCCTATCTCTACCCCTGCACAAAAATCAATTAAAAATGGATCAAAAACCTAGATAGAAGACTTGAAAACCTTGAAACTGGTAAGAGAACACTAGAGGAAATACTAGAAGCTGTTGGAACAGATGATGATTTATCAAATAAGAGACTGCAATAGCATAGGAAATAATACCAGGAATCAACAAATGGAACCACATCAAATTAAAATTTTTGCATAGCAAGAGAAACAGCTAACAGTGAAAAGACAGCCTACAGAATGGGAAAAAATCTTTGCCAACTACTCTCCTAACAGAGGATTAATATCTAGAATATATAAAGAGAACAAAAAACAAGAAAAAAAACCCAAAACAAAAAACATCCCAAACAGCCTAATCAATAAATGGGCAAATGACAATCTCTTTAATGAACATAGATGCAAAAATCCTCAATAAGACACTGGCAAACAGAATGCAACAAGTCATCAAAAAGATCATACAGGGGCCGGGGATTTAGCTCAGTGGTTCTGCTGCCGGCCTCGCAAGTACAAGGACCCAAGTTCAATCCCCGTACCAAAAAAAAAAAAAGGTCATACATCCTGACCAAGTAGGCTTCATCCCAGGGATGCCGGAATGGTTCAACGTATGCAAATTAACAAATGTAACACATCAGATAAACAGTAGTAAGGATAAAAATCCCATGATCATCTGAATTGACACAGACAAAATCCAACATCCATTCATAATAAAAATTCTAAAGAAAATAGGGATAGAAGGATCTAATCCCAATCTGATAAAAGCTTTCTTTTTTTTTTTTTTTTTTTAGTACTGGGGATCAAACTCGGGTCCTTGTCCTTGCAAGGCAGGCAGCAGAACCACTGAGCTACCCCAGCCCTGATAAAAAGTATTTATGACAAGCCTACTGCCAACATATTAAATGAGGAAAAGCTGAAAGCTTTACTGATAAAATTAGAAAAAAGACAAGAATGTCCACTATTACCACACTTGTTCAATATAATACAGTATTTGAAAAAAAAAAATAGTATTAGAAACAGTAGCCAGAACAATCAGGCAGGAGATAAAGAAACAGAAGGAATATGTTTAAGAAAAGAAGAGGTCAAATTACCATTATTTGCAGATGACATGATTCTCTACACAGAAGACAGAAAAAATTCCACCAAAAGATTCCTAGAATTTATAATCAAACTCAAAATGTAGGAAGATACAAAAGTCAACAGTGTTCCTGTACACTTAAGGAAAACAATAACACTCACAGTAGCATAAAAAAAATCAAATAGTTAAGGCAAATGACAATCTAACCTGGGTAAGTGAAATAGCTCTACAACAAAAACTATGGTACTCTGAAAAAGGAGATCGAAGGGGACATCAAAAAATGGAAATATAACCCCTGTTCCTTGATAGGCAGAACCAACACTGTCAAGATGGCCATACTACTAAAACTCATATACATATTTAATGCAATCTTAATCAAAATACCAACAGAACTAGAGCAAATAATCCTAAAATTCATATGGAACCAGAAGAGATTCAGAATAGCAAAAACAATCCTGGACAACAAGAGCAGAACAAGAGGCATCACAATCCCAGAAGTTATACTACAAAGCTACAGTGATAAAAACAGCACGATACTGGCACTAAACAGACCTGTGGATCAATAGAATGGAAGATGAAGTAACAACCTCAGACAAATTAAGTCATCTGATATTGGACAAAGGGGCCAAAAATATGCTTGAAGAAAAATAGCCTCTTTAATAAATGGTGCTAGGAAAACTGGCTATCCACATGCAGAAGATTGAGTCTATATTGGTATCGCTCACCATGCACCAAACTAAAATCAAAATGGATCAAAGATCTAAATATGAAAATTGAAATACTTGATCTTTTAGATGATAAAATAGGTTAAAACTGTTGAAGACACAGGCATAGGCAAGGACTTTTGGGACAGAGCCCCAACTGCACAAAAAATAACATGAAGAACCAACAAATGGGATTACATTAAGTTTAAAAAAAAAAACCTGCTCAGCAAAGAAAACAACCAACAGAAGTGAAGAGACAACCTACAGAAATGGAGAACAATTTTACCAGCTATTCCTCGGACACAGGACTAACATCTAGAATATATTAAAATCTCAAAAACTATAGAGTCCTCAAAATAAGACTCTATAAAAAAGTGTGTATGTGGGACGGGGATTTAGCTCAGTGGTACTGCTGCCTACCTTGCAAGCGAAAGGTCCTGAGTTCAATCCCTGGTACCAAAAACAAAAACAAAAACAAAAAAGTGCAAGTGAAATAATAGACACTCCTCAGAAGTACAAATGGCCAATACATGAAAAAATGTTCATTATCACTAGAGAAATGCAAATAAAAACAACACTGAGATTCCACTTTAGAAAGAATGGCTATCATCAATAAATCAGCCAGGCATGGTAGTGCACACCTGTAATCCCAGCACTTGGGAGGCTGAGGCAGGATTGCTATGACTTTGAGGCCAGCCTGGACTACACAGTGAGATCCTGCCTCAAAAAACAAAATATAGAAATCCTATTTGACCCAGCTATTCCTCTTCTGGGTATTTTCTTCAAAGAGTAAAGACAGCACATCATGGTGATACAGATATACTCATGTTTATAGCAGTATACTCATAATAGCTAAAGCTTAGATAGATGCAAATAATGATATAGCTGGATTTTAAAAAGTACACACAAAACAAATACGGTAAAATATTAAGCACTGGTGAATCTAGATGCTACATTCTACAACACAGATGAAACCTGAAAACATGTTAAGTGCAAGGTCTTCACAAAAGGCCAACTATTTTATAATTCCATATATATGAAAAGTTTGGAATAGGAAGACTCAGAGTCGGTAATTGGATTAGGGTTTGGTACTAGGGGGCAGCAAGGAATAAACAGAAAATAAATGCTAATGGGAGCTAAGTGTAGTGGTGCACACTTGTAATCCCAGCACGTGGGACACTGAGGCAGGAGGGTCACTGTGAGTTCAAGGCCAGCCTGGGCTACATAGTGAGTTCAAAGGGCAGCCTGCACAAAAAAGAACAAAAACAAAAACAAAAACCATTAATAGGTGCAGGGTTTCTTTTTGGGATAAAGAAAATGTTTTAGAATTAGTGGTGATGGCTGCACAATTCTAAATATACTAAAAAGCACAAAATTGTAATTTAAAAGGTTGAATTTTATGCTATATACATTATTTATATGTCATGAAGGCTGTCATTAAAAAAATAAAAAACTCTGGCACATAAGATCACTCTCTTTCGGGGGCTGTGAAGTATTGTGGAAAGTGTCCTGAATTGATTCTAGATACTGTTTTTATTAGTATGGCTCTGGGTCACTCACTCAACCATTCTGACTCCAAGTTTCCTCACCTATTAAATGAAGAGACTAAAACTACCCAATTTATCACATATAGTTTTGTTTTTAGGACAAAAAATTATAATAAATATGAGCATGTGTGAATCATAAAATGTTATACAGGGCAGGGGATTTAGTTCAGTGGTGCTGCCACTTGCCTTGCAAGTGCAAGGTCTGAAGTTCAATCCCCAGTTCCCACCCCCCAAAAAAGTATATAAATTCAGGTTATACCTGGATAGGTTAAAGCAGCAGTAGCAAAATAGAAGCTCAAGCATTCCACAGCCAGCTTTCACTTTAAGGTTTTTGGTTTTTGTTTTTTTTTTTAAGAAAGGGTCTCACCATGTAGTTCAGGCTGTTCTTGAACACCCCATGTACCTCAGGTTGGTCTTGAATTTGCAGCACTCTTGGAGCGCTGGAACTACAGGTATGCACTACTATGCCTGGCTGTAACCTCATATCATCGTGTATCTTTTAAAGTCAAAAAGGGTAAACTACTAAGCAGAGTTAGAGAAATGAAATAGACCTGAAAAAATGAATGGATAAAGATTAGTTCTTTTTGCTGCTAGGCTAAATGAATTCTCTCAGATCCCCAGTCAAAAAAAGAATGTGCGACAGCAAGCAAAAATCTACAGATACTTAGTTCTGTTACCTCCAGGGCATGTATGGGAATCGAGCACCTCCCCCACCCGTTGAGATGACAAAGAGAGTCCACAATGCTGGCACTTCCGTGGATCATTAGTCTGCTTAAAAATTCCTCTTGAGTCAAACCAAACAAAATCAGACATAGTCCGTTTTCTACAGGAAAAATAAAAATTAGATTTTATAAATTACTAGGGCAGGCTTTAGAACTAGGAATTAAATCTCTATTTATTCAAAAGTTCAGTACTGTAGTTAAAAATATATTTACTGGATATCATGTATTATGACTTTAACTCACGGATTTTCAATGTTTTCAAGATTTTTATTTTTAAAATACTAATCACAAGCAAATTCTTATATGAAGTGTGGCTGGAGATGTAGCTCATGGGCAGAGTGCTTACACAGCATAAGGGAGGCCCTGGGTTCAAACTCTAGTATCACAAAAAGCAACAACAAAAAAAATGCATGAAAATAGCACTGAAACTTCACATTTCTGTCTTAAATTATCTTGTACAATTGATACCTGGAGCCTTTAATTATTTACAGAGATGTTCAGGTTTAGTTTACTATAATAAAATAGCATACTCCTGACAAACAAATAGGTGATTAACAAAATCAGAGCACCAAAGAAGAAACACAGTCCAGTTACAGCCCTTGTAAGTCACATGGTGAGTACTCAATGAAGCACACGTGACACATCAAAACACCCTGTGCCTACGTGGGCTACGACGTAGTAAGTAAAGTGCAAGGTAAACGGAAATAAAACGGTCCATCTAAGACTCTGAAACAATTGAAATTAGGTTCAACTTTCAAGTTCCTGTGCAGGAATACTGGCCTAGTATTGTTAGATCAGTAATACCTGGAAATCTAAATTTTGTGTAAAAATCTTCTATTTCTTTTTTTTTTTTTTTTTGAGACAGGGTCTCACTATGTAGCCCATGATGGTCCGGAACTCACAGCGATCCTCCTGCCTCAGCCTCCCCAGTGCTGGGATTACAGGCGTGAGCCACCACGCCCGACTAAAAATCTTCTAATTCTGCCTATTTATAATAGTCTTTTTTAAATATCTAGATAGTACCGAATAAATAAATTAAATCTGTACTTCATGCATGGTCCATGAGCAGCCAGTTTGTAACCTTTGCTTGTACAAACTGAAGTCAAACTAAGATTCTCTGGGTTAACATTTTAACCTTCATTACTCTTTTATTTTCCCAGTACTGGTGATTGAATGCTTGCCAGGTAGGCGCAGTGCCACTGAGCTACATCTCTAGCATCCTTCATTACTCTTAAACTTGGCATTAGCTGGAGAGAAATGATCTTAATTAAAAATCAAAATATGAGACAGTGTTAGCAAGACAAAGACCAGATTTCATCCATGGATGATTACATCAAGGGAAGAGTAGCCATGTGTAGGGACCAAGGCAGAAGTAAAATACATTAAGAAACCACACCTCTCAGTATGTGTTCCAGCTTGATACAAGATAGTCTTACCTGTCAAAACAAAGCACAGTCGCTGGTCTCCACTACTGTTTACAGGAATACACTTCTGGCCAAGGGAGAAACACTGCAAAGCCTGGGTCTCCAAATCCCAGAGGAGAATGGTGTACTTGTCACTCGTTTCCACTGCCCAGATAAACAGTGCAGTGAATCCTGTCACGGACACACACTTAAGCTCTGCGAGTTCCTCTTGTTCATGGAGGTGCATTATCTTCAATGATCTTCCAGGATCATTGGTCCTGGCATGATCTCTCTGTGGAAGATTATACTGGTCCCACATTATGTCCTGTGAAATAAAAACCCAGCTCGGCACACCAGTACCATGATTGCCAGATGTAGGGGACTCCAAATGCAAAATATCCTGGAACCATGGATCACAAGAAGAAATCTCTAGTTTGGAGCTCTTTATTCTTTCATTCAATGCTAATAGCTGGGCATTCCAAGACCTGGAAGACAGAGTAACACACTAGTTACAATAAAAGGACTTAAGTAAAAACACTAAACCAGGCCAAACATGCTCTTTAAAAAATAAGTATTGACCTAGTAAAGACCTTTAGTGAAAAGGTACAGAGGCAGCATGAAAAAAAAGTGGAAATAAACTAAATAAAAGGAAATTTTTGTACCTATCAACCTGGAAGGAAAACTTGGTCAGTTTCAAGCTGTGAACAGAGTTAATAGGATCATCTTCATCGATCCCCTTAGGTCCTTGAACAGGAAGGTCTTCTAGTGTTCTTTCACATAGTAAGTATCCTGGATGTTGCCTACATTTAAAAATGAGAGCCATAATAAAAATGATGATCAAACCTAAATCTGTGTTAAAAATAGGGAAGGGGGTCACAGAAAAGGAACAGTATAGACAAATACTCTGAATAGAATTCATCTCCCCTTGCTTGCAGCATAGTGATAAAATCAAACTCAAGAATTTGACTCTGTTAAGGGCCGTAAGCTTTATAAAGCAATAAAAATAATTATTGTCTACTATATTGTTGCACTAAATAAACACTTTAAACTTTTTTTTTTTTTTTGGTAGTACTATAGATTGAACCCAGGGTGTTCACAGTGAGCTACATCCCCTGTCCTTTTTTATTCTCCCAGACTGCTGGGATAACAGATATGAGCCAAACACCTGACTAAACTCTTACTCTTATTTGAGCCTTTCAACAACCCTATTGAAGTAAATATAGCCCAACTTCATGGATAAGGAAACTAAGGCTAAGAGAAACTTTGAACTGGGTTAATTTAGCCAGCAAGTCCAGATTTTTTGTTTGTTTTTTGAGACAGGGTCTCGCTATGTAGTTGAGACTAACCTGGAACTCACTATGTAGCCCGGGCTGGTCTCGAACTTACAGCAATCCTCCTGCCTCAGCCTCCCGAATGCTGGGATAAAAGGCGTGCACCACCATGCCAGCTAAATCCAGATTTTTAATCACTGTACCACCATTACAAAATAAGATTTAGGCTGAGACCATGAAGGCAAATTATATGGGTGGACATAGGAAGACAGGATGCATACAAAGAGGGCTCTCACACGTGAGAAACAAGAGGCTAAAGCACAGTAAATGAGAAGCAAGGTGGAGTGAGATGAAGCTCGAAAGGTTGGCAAGGCCTTTTTGGCTATTAAGGATTTTTAACTATTATCTTAGCAGGGAAAAGGAATCTAAAGGAGGATTTAGGCAGAAAACAGCTAGAGGAGAAGGGAAAACATTTATTCCCACGAAGCACGTGGTTCAATAAGTACTAACCCTTTTAACAATTTGAAGGTAACAGGCTGACACATTTGTTAAAGTGATAAGAGAAGGTAGGATTTATACTTTATAGAGTAGGAAGCAAGATCATTCAAGAAAACTTAGGAATAAAAAGATAAGTGGGTTTGAAAATCACAGATTTTAAAATGTTATAAGGAATGGGCTTGTAAAAAATCATTGTAAAACTTTCAAGAAATACTGTGAAAGAAACCAACTGAAGATAGTGAATGTGAACTTAAGAGTACTGTCAATTTTCTTTTGCAGTTTTCTCACAAGTGCTCAATTGCTTGGTTACAGGCACTAAGAAGACAGAATAAAGGTTCTGCTCAAGGTTAACATTTTGACAGAGAGAACTATCACAGAGTAGGCACAAGAGTTTACTGTACATGCAAGAAACCAACTAGAATGTCAGATCACAAAATCTATGCTGGAACAAAAGGGAAGTGAAGACAGGAGGCGGGGTGAAGATTGGAAGGTTAAGGAACTGGAAATTCCAATGAAGTCAGATGACGGGAGCTGTGAGAGTACTTGAGCAAGTATGCTAGAAAGTATGGGAAGTTATGGTCAAAATGAAATGTGCAGTGATTTTGGGGAGGAACAATTTCAAATGCGGACAAGGCCCAGGGTATGACTATGAGAATGAACAGCTAAGGTAAAGTTGAAGAAAAAAGTCACTCACAATGAACTGAAGAAGTAAACCCCACTTCCTCAGGAGATTGAGGTGGGAGGATCATTTGAGCCTATGAGTTTGAAACTAACCCAGGCCATACAGTAAGAACCCATTGCTAAAGAAAAAAAAAAAAAAGTGAAAGAACAAGTCATGGGTTTGGGGTTCTCAAGGAGCTTATACAAGCTCCATGCAGGAAATGGAACAAGTTAGGAACTAACAGAACATTATACAATTAAATAATAAAATGTATCAAAGCAGAAGTACCACCCAGGCCTGGTGGCACAGGCCTCTGGGAGGCTAAGGCATAAATATAGCAAGTTCTAGTCCAGCCTGGGCAACTTAGACCTTGTGTCAAAAAAAAAGGTTACTGATGTAGTTCAGTGCGTTTAATACCTATTATTGGTAGAACAAAGTACCACAAAAGTTCAAGTAAGAGAAAAATTATGAAATGAGTCTAAGATTATGGGTCAAAAGAGTTTAGTAAATAAAAAATGTCAAGAAAGAGATGGATCTTTCTTTAGACTTTGTTTCTCACACCAGATAAACTATTTGGCACCAATAAAATAATAAAAAAAGAGCATGATTTCAGGTGGGTCTCAAAAGATTCACAGAACTTGATAAAATGAAGAGGAAGGCTGATGTTCTGTGTATTAGGGGGAAAAGATGAGCTAGCACCATGAGGCAGTAAAGATAAACACAATGCTTTTATTAGACTTTAGAGCAAAGAAAAAAGAAAACATTTTTAAATTCCAGAGAACTTAATACTATTTAGAGCTTTCATATAAAAAAACATGGATTATTCATTTACTTGTTTAGTCATATTCATTTAAATTTGGTGAAGGAAACAGAATAGCAGTTCTGGAGTGCTGCTGAACACAGAGGACAGAAGCCCACATTCAAGGATGGGGAAGCCGAGTAAGCTTTCCTCCTTTCTTAGCACTCAAATTGGTTTCAAAATGGATGGTTAGATGATTCTACATATAATGTGGACTACTGACAAACCAGAAAACAATCTGAGAATATACTGGTCATCCTGCTTAGAAATTTAAAGAAATAGGGGCTAGGGATTTAGCTCAGTGGTTCTGGCACCTGCTTTGCAAGCACAAGGACCTGAGTTTGATTCCCAGTACCAAAAAAATAAATAAAGAAATAAAATAAAATAAAGAAATAAAAAGGCCCTTTAAAAAATGGGGGTGGGGGGGCAGCTGACTGGCATAAGGAAGATGACCTCACCCAATGGTAGTATCAAACCATCATCTCCTGTCTTTGTACCTTGGTTCCCCTCAGCACAGGGCCACAGAGGTGTCTAACAAACCAGATCAAGAACAAGGCCAACACCCTGAAGAAGCAGTATACCCTGAAGAGTCAGGGAGCAATAATGGACACAGAAAAGCCTACAGCTAGTATAAACTAAAAACCTATGTGGTGTTTTATCCCAAAAGTGAGTTCACGAGGGGAGAGTTTGAGAAGAAATCCAGTGCAGCACCTGCCATATTACCAGAGTGCAACACGGCCAGAGCGTTTAATCAGGCACCTTCACGGGAAGGGATTGATTTGAATAATAACAGGAGCAGATTATGTCTTGCCTTGGACAGTTGCCACAGTCAGGGGTGAGGGTGGGGCAGGCACCTTTTTTTTTGTACTGGGGATAAAATTCATGACTTGGCACATGCCGCTGAGCAACATTCCCAGCCCATTCTGGGGGAAGCCTCTAAGCAGAGGGGTCACCTCATAAAATCACAGGTTATAAAGTGGGACGGGGAGGATGGTGACTTGTTAGATTGTGGGAAATGGGCATGGGATCACATGTCTGTAATCCCAGTACGTAGGAGGCTGAGGCAGGAGCACTTGGGAGGCTGAACTGCTCTGAGTTCAAGGCCAGCCTGAATCTCATAGCAAGACCTTCTCTCAAAACACCAAAACAAACAAAACACAAAAGACTAGATCCTGAAAGGAAACCACTCAATTGGAAATACAAAGGATGATTTTTTTTCTTTTAACCCATTTTATTCTCCTGTTTTTTCTCTTTTCCTTCATTATCTTTGTTTGATTTAGTCCTTTCTTTTCTAATTTGTTCCCTTAACAATTTTTCCTTTAGTTTAATCTTTTCTCTTATTTATTTTTCCTTTTTTTCTGTTACTTTTATCTAATACTATTTTCCCTTTACTGCCTTAATAGATTCCTTTATTTCACTTTTATCACCTTATCTTCCATTGCTTAATTTTTCAAATTCTTTCTTCATGATTCCATTCCTACAGCTTCTATCCTTACTAGTATAGCCATTAGGCTTTATGAATCTATAGATGATTAACTATGTCTTACTATGTTTGAACACTGTTGTACTGTTACTGGAGGTAAAGCTGTTCCATTGAGTAGATATTCACTGTCAGTCATTATCTGGTTTTGGTGTTTCTATTACAATCACAGATCTCTTTTCTTCAGGTAAGGGTGGCATATTATTGATTCTCAGGGTTTGTCAATATCCAGTTGGTATTTGATGCTACTGTTGCTGAATCTACTACTACAACAGGCGGCAAAGTTGTTACTATCATTTCGTTTTCTCTGTGTATGCCTATTTATGAATTACCTGTGGGTGTGGTCATAAACAATACTGTAGCCCATTCTCCAAGAACTGAGTACTGGGCCAAATAAACTGCAACTTCATCTCCCAAACAAATGGAGGTGGCTGGATTCTGGGACAGAGGCAAAGGTCAACAGTTAGCTATGCCTAGAGGATATAGCAGAAGAATAGACATTAACTAAAGAGGTCTCTATACAAACAGCAAGCTATCCACTATAATCAGCCTGCAAGTCTAAGTACAGAAAAAAGAAAGAAACTAGAAATATGAGAAGACAAAGTAACAAAATGACTTCAAAAACTGCCAATTCCCTCAAAGACAGCCCAAGGGACATTGAAAGGTAAGAAATTAAAAGCCACACAGCTGAATTATCTGAATAGCTGCCTGAAAGATACCAGCGGAAGTAACAAAGCATGAATAAAGTGCTTGGTTAATTCAAACAAGATATACTAAAAAATAATGACCCTAATGAAACAAATGATCAGTGAGTCTACAGAACACACTAATAAAAAAAATCAGTGGAGCTAAAGAAAAAGGTATAAAACACGATGCCGAGCACATAAAAGAATTAAAAGTCTAAAAAAGTTTCAAATGAAAATCCAGGGGATTAAAAATTGTATTAATAGTATGGGTGAATGCCCACACTAGGAAAACAAAGCGAGCTCAAATAATCTAACGATGAATCTTAGACTCCTAGAAAAACAAGAGCAAGAAAAACCAAAGCTCCTACAAGAGAGGAAATTATAAAGATCAGAGCAGAAATCAGC